GATGACAACACAGCGGGTTTAACCAGCACTTGCAGGTGGAAAGGCGTCTACATGAGAGCTTATCATTTGGATAGAAACTGGTCTACAAATCATTCTCATGAATGTAAGATTAAATTCAAGCTCTATTCTAGTCCCAATTTTTTTTGTCGATGGTGATCTCCTAGCAATCGACAACCTAGCAAACGAAATCCGTGTCTACGACATTCGGAAACAGACCCGTCTGTGTGTTATTCCGTGTGAGAATTCGGCGAACAGTATCAAGCTCAAAGATGGCGTACTTGTGGTGCCTTTTAGGGATGGAAGGGCCCATGCATTTGATGCAAGGACAGGTAAAACACTACAAAAGATAAAAGGAATTTGGGTCTATGGGAATAAGTTACTGTTTTTTGATGGTGAGGTGGTCATCATTATCCCAAGGGATGATAAGCACTTGCGTTACTACGGTCAGAGGTTGCGGGACATTTACGTGTGGTCTGTCAAAGACGGCAAACCTCAATGCATCTTAACCGTTGATCCCGCAGACAGGTAAACAAGTTTTACGGCGTGGACTATCGGGACAAGATGGTAGCGGCTGTCTATGATGATGACTACATTCGCGTGTGGGATGCGAGAAGCGGAGATTGTCTGCATAAACTAAAATGTCCAGGAGAAATGTCAAATGTTCAACTCGGCGATAATGTCATCGTTGGTTTCAGCACGGAAGGCAACGTGTACATTATTAGTATTTGGAGCCAAGACACGGGAGAGTGCCAAAAGGTGATACACGTAGACCAACCCAACGCTTATATTGCAGGGATTGTGAATAATTTGATAATACTACAGTGTAGGACCAATTATGGTAAACGATGGACTCGTTCAATGTACGCTTTTAATCTGCGTGGAGAATTGGTAACGAAAGAGATGCGTCGTACCCTTGTGAAAGTGAACGGAAACAGAAGCAAAGTCCTGTTCCACCTGCACAACGATCCAGTGGAAGGGAGTCGGGAAACATGGAAAGGGGTCATCTTCAACGCCACCCCAAATGGATTGGTACGACTCTTTGATGTTGGTCCTACAGATATCTTGTGGATGGACGAAATCAGAATGATCCTCTATGACGATGACAAACACAGAATCCTTATCCATAATTACTGGTAAATCAATGGTGACAGCTAAACTCAAATTATAATTACAACTTGTTTTGAACTCTACCTCAGGCATAATTAACTGAGTAAACAGCGATAGGGAAATGTTTACTAGAGGACACACGGTTATTTACTAATGTTTTTTTTTTACTTCAAGCCCAGATCTGCTATTTCCATTCCCTTGATCTTTCCAATATTCCTTGAATTAAGTTCAAGATTTTTTTTTTATTATTATTATCATTGTCCATTTTTGATTGCATGAATAAACACCTTTCTGTCGATTTGTCGTCACGACCCAAGTGTTTGTAGGAGGCGTTGACTATTTATCCAGCTTTGATTTAAGCATATCGTGTATTTAACTTCGCTCATCCGTCTTGTTTTGCTACCACCAAAAAAGGGAACCGAGAGTAAAGCGAAGAGTATAGGCTCTTATTCATCATTCGAGGATAAACTCGTTTTTGGATGAACTGCAAGATGAGAGTTATAGTAATGTTTATGTGCTTCTACCCTTTTCGTAGCCAAATTCACCTGAAAAGTGTTTTGAGAAGTCACCCAAGAATCTTCTCCTCATCTGGTAAAAATTAAGGAGACAATTTCAAGTCAGTAACTAAATTTGGAAATCGGCGCCTGTACATAACAACGAGCTTTGGCATGAATAGTATAGAACACGTGAAGTTTGTTTGCAGACGTGTGTGTTTTGTGCACTTCGCCAGGCTGGGGGCCTTCGGGGTTCGGGACCCTGTTGTCCTCTGTTGTTCAGCATCCCCTTTTGACATTCTGCATTCTGAAAATGCTACTCTGGTCTTTTTAATGATTATCGGGTCTCTGTCTTTCACCGACGTATTAACACTATATACTGCCTCCCGAGCGAAAATTGGAGGAAAAAAAACTCGGTGCAACTTTCACCTGGCGGTAAACACACTGAGTTGTATTGATTGTTTATACGTCGGTGAAAGGCAAAAACCTTAAATTGATTGACATCAACCCGACGCATTTCCATCTTATGAATATAGACTAAAATACAATGTATTTGATCTTGCAATAAAATGTATCACACTGAATCTGCTTTGCAGTGGCGTCGCCAAGGGGGGGGGGGGGGGGGGGGGGGGGGGGCAGGGGGGGGCACGTGCCCCCCCTGGAAAACCTAGTGCCCCCCCAAGTGCCCCCCCCCATCTGAGATTTGGGTTGGTAAAAAAATATATATATATATTTTGTTATATTCAACTCCCATCATCTGAGTTGGTTTTTCATAAGGACAAAGAAGCACAGTAATTCGTATTTTCTTCAAATGAGCATCAAATGTGGCACCATTTTGCATCTAGCCCATCCTCCGTATGAGAAAATTTTCCAAAGGGGAGGGGGGCACCCCCTCCCCTTAGACCCCTCCCCCAGGACGGCGATCCGTATCCACCTAAGTGCCCCCCCCCCATCAAATGCTGGTGCCCCCTGTGCCCCCCCCCCCAGACTGAAAAGTCTGGTGACGCCACTGCTGCTTTGGAACAATCATTAATAAGAACAACAGCTAGAATGTGCACCGTTGAAAATGGATTTTTGCGAGCATGTATGTAGGTACTTTTCCATTCCAAAACACGTGTAATATGACAACGATAAGGGCTCTGATAGTCAATAGTAAGTTGTGAAGTGACAACATATTATTAGAGTTCCGTGTTCTGCAGTAGATCACAACGTTAGCGAATCAGTAATGCTCCACACAATTGCCTGCAGTCACGTTTAAATGCGCATATGCGCCAAGGCTGCTCCATTCGGAATTTGCTTTCACCTTGAACTTACTTTAACACAGGAAGCATAATATACTTCCACTGTGCCGGTTACACTCACAGTGTATTACGCCTGAACTTGCAGTGTTCGTAGGGCAAACGTACATCATTTCCGCCTGCGCCATATCGAAAAACCACATGTACAGCCAATCTTTGTAGGGCTATGATTCTGCACACAACAGTCGACACGCCTGCACAGTACCTGCCTGTGCACGAAGTCATCTCTGTCATCCGGAAAACACTGGGATAAGACATGTAACTAGTAGATTGATTTGGCATAAAGCTCAATAAAGATTTGTGTGAGCTGCACTTCTTTCTGAAATGTGGGGCTTGACTGCAAGACAATGTGATTCGTGTAAACTTGGTTTTCCCAGCCCTATACCAGGTGAGTAGAAAAAAGGAAACACAACTGGTGGCTCCTATTTTTTTCCAAGACGTTCTGCTGGTAGCGCTTTCCAGATCTAGGAAATGAAAGCCCTATTATATCGCTTGTGTAATTTTCCAGTTATTGAATTTTGAACACAAACACCTTTAACCCTCCGAAGCCCTTTTGGGGACCCAATTTGGTAAATTTCCTTAATTAAAAAAAAAATTCAAACCAATTCTGGTGATCTTCCATCTAATCCTAGCCAGAGACACCCACTACGGATATATGCAGTCACCTTTAGTGTGTGACCCCGGGTCAGGCATATCTGAGCCTGACAACCTGGGCTAAGGACCGACGCAATTTCTGCCTACCCGGGGGACCCACCATATACACGTGCACAAACAAGGTCACTTGCGGGTAGACAGTGCAGGGCTTGACCACAGACTATGAATACAATACACTTCCTTAGTCCACAGACATGGCAAGATTGTGTTCATGTGGATACAGTGTTGTGTAGCCTCAAACCGTGGCGCGGGGGACCCCTTACTGTAAGTGTGTTACTAAATGGGCTTTCTGCGTCGGAGGGTTAAAAAAAAGGCTTGTCCACGGATCACAATAAAGGCAAGAGATATTTCAGCAAAAAATAAACACTACTCACACGTAAATAATTCACATCAGAACACACACCGACGTTTGTTTATGGTGTAAATCAATGATTTCCTTTTCCCAGGTGAAAATTCCAGTTGAAACCAGTTACAATTTCAACTGGTTTTAACTGGGATTAACTGGGATTAACTGGTGTCCAACTGGTACATGTTCGATTCAACTGGTTTCAACTGGTAGCTCAACTGGATTCAGCAGAACCAGTTGAAACCAGTTGAACTTACCAGTTACAAACTGGCAATTCTTGTTGTGCCAACAAGAACCAGTTGAAACCAGTTGAAAAAAGAGTTTATCAACTGGCAATTCTTGTTGTGTCAACAGCCAGTTGAAACCTGTTGAAGAAACCATGGCAATTCTTGTTGTGCCATATCAATTAACTGAAACCAGTTGAAATCAGTGTTAAGAAACCAGTTATCAACTGGCAATTCTTGTGGTGTTAATAGGAACCAGTTGAAACCAGTTGAATTAGCAACCAAACTGGTCACGGTAGTGGTATCCAAGTGTCAACATGTTCTGGACCAGTTGAAACCAGTTAACGACTACCAGTTGCAGAAACTGCAGTGTAACAGGACATTTAAAACCAACAGCTATATATAGGGCCCGGACCATCAACAATTGAAACCAGTTGATGGAACCATATAAATGGAAAAAGTTATTACCAGCTGTTAATTATTTGCCATTTGCTCATGTTATATATATTTTTTTGCTTTGCGGTAGATGGTCGATCATTAATTGTTTTTCAGTTTTTGCATGGAGCTTATAATTGAAAACTGAAGAGAAGAATTTCAATGGGAAATTGACTTAAAATTTTCAGTAGAAAACCAGCCAACATGATTCAATACTGCACATAATGTTTGTCGCGGTTGCGGTTCAATAACATATGATGGACTCTCTCCCCCCCCCCCCCCACCCGTGCAGCGATATACTGTATGGGAATGCATTGTACATGTACATTCCACACAACATATACTGTACATGTATATGACTTACACTGTCCAGTCTTGCGCAAGGTCACTTCATGCCCTTTGACACACGTACTGAGCTAGTGGTCAGCACACAGTATATACTGTACATGTAAATATGACCTTGCCTCAACCAGAAAAACCGTTAGGCCACATTGCGCTAGCCTGCATGCAGTTCAGTTCTACTACTCATTCAAAATGGTTAAAGACGGAGCAGGCACAAATGTACATCGTCATCTCGAAAAAACACTGATTACATGTATTGTATTCAGTTCCAAATCCGCGTCCAAAAGCATCACACATGTCTGTAAACATACAGCTTATTAGTCAGAGTTAATATTCCTGCAGCACCATGGTCTTTGCGGAATGGGAGATAGTTTGTACATTCGTTTCTGGAGCCCTGTTCTTTCAAACCTACAGTTTGTTGTAGGCCTTACTGGTAAGTTTGTACTGAATGTTTCAAATACCCAGCTTTTTTTAATTCGTATCCGTTGTACAGCATAGATTCTGTCACATTTGTACTACATTTTATGTTTGATATCATTATTTGCTTAACATGCTTAAGCTTTGTTTGTGATCAGCTGGCCATGCTGGTAAGAAAATAAAGCTCATAGTCATATCCAAGTATTATACATTTTTGTAAATTTACTAGCACGACTAGTCCTTTTTATAGCTCCATGGTCCTACATAATACTCGAAGCAATCACAATGAGGAATATAATGAGTTTGGACTCCTGGTTAATTCTGTCGTATTCCCATAAAATGCAAGAAACAGCACACCTTTAATAATTTCAGGGATCAGGAAAGTATTGCATAAAGCAAGGTAAATGAAATATTGGTGGTATTAGGATACAAATTAATTGCGGATCACAATTTCTTCGGCATTGCAGAAGTTAATCAGGTTACTTTTAATAATGTTAAGACTGAACATATTAAAAGCAAAATCCTTACAAAGTGGTGGTTTCTGAAAGTACAACTAGAGCTGTCTTATTCAGCCCAGACCATCTTTGTTCTTGAGGCTTTTTTGGAGGGTTTGCTTTTCTTACTTTTTAATTTGTTTTCGGTTTGTTCTCAATGACAGGGAGCCATGGACACAATGGAACAGTCAATCGATACGTGAGGAGAGGAGTTTTGCAACAGAGACGGGTGCGACAGTGACGGGAAAAGGCACAGGAGACACTGGAGAAGCGCGTATATATAGGAACAATCTGCAGCAAATTAGGTGACTCGGAGTGTAATTGTTATAACCATTTGAAGCACGCGAACTGGATATCAAAACAGTGACGTTATTTCTGCAAGGCTTCAGTGTTACAGCTTTGATGTTTTTCATCTTTGATTCGATAAAACTTGACCAGTACATGAAAGTTCTGTGCTTCCCAGGACCTGTTTCCCCAGGTCTGTACATTTCTCCATTTTTTTGTCAATATTATGATGATCCGAGACTGAATGTTAATTGCCCTGGATTTATCAAGCCATTGAAGTTTCCTGTAAATTTACTCACCGAGATATTGAGACGAGTTTCATAATTTAAACGAATAGGCTAGCTTTACTGTTTTAGCGTGGATTGTGGCCTAATTATGAAACGAGAGGCATTAAACTCAAAACAAAACCTTCCCTCTTTTATCCTCAACATTCAAATTTACATGTAAGTTGGATTGTGGAAAATCATCCAGCCATCAAAAAAATCTTGTAAAAATCAAGTGTAAAATAACTTTCACCACCATCTTGATAGTTTTTCATGGTTCAAGACTTCTGCATCTATTTATTTGAAAAGCCAATTATAATATTTCATTGATTATGATGATACACATTTTGTAAATAGTGTCAAATATATACAACGTACAGTATTTGCCAAAACATTTTGCTACCCTTTGTCTCATTTGTAATACTTGTTTCCGGATAATTACTCTTTATTATCAATTGCAAAATATCTATCTGGATATATTAAACAAACTACATGTATTCGCCCTTGAAGCAACCCACAGATCTCAGCCCGCCTGTTCAAGACCATTTCAACCCGCTAACGACAGTTTGATGCCAACTACAGACCAATTCAAAACGACTTCACAGTTCCAAACCAGTTGGCAACAGCTCATGTCATTTGTGAACCAGTTGGAAACCAGTTGGAAACCATGTTCACCAGTTAAACCAGTTGGAAACCAGTTGGAAACTTCATACCACTTAAACCAGTTCATACCAGCTAACCAGTTGAAAACCAGTTACACCAGTTGCCCAGTTCATACCAGTTAAACTGATTTGGCACCAGTTGAAACCAGTTAGAAACCAGTTCAACCAGTGGCCCAGTTAGAAACCAGTTACACCAGTTGCCCAGTTCATACCAGTTTGAAACCAGTTAGAAACCAGTTAAACCAGTTGCCCAGTTAGAAACCAGTTAAACCAGTTGCCCAGTTCATACCAGTTAAACCAGTTCATACCAGTTGAACCAGTTAATACCAGTTAAACCAGTTAAAACCAGTCACCAATTCCCAGTTCAACTGGGACCAGTTGAAACCAGTTGAAACCAGTTCAACAACTGCAATTTTCACCTGGGTTGTTCCTCTTCCCTTTTCCTTTTTCGCAACAGTTCTCATTGGTTTTTTTACACGTTTTCTAATCGAAGTCGTCCTCGATTTAAAAACCTGCTGCTTCCAAATATAACCATTCCCGTATACACCATTGCTAAATACTCATACAAAATTCTTTAAAAAAATCTGAATTCTCACAAATGTTTAGTCTGCACAGAAAATGATGATCAATGATGTCATCTTTCATTGACTTTTCGAGAAATTTTAACCCAAAGATGAAGACCCATTTTAAGTAAGAGTGATGTATACTGGAGTGGAAAAGTAGCCATCTTGAAAATAAATCCCTCCACAACATGTTCTGTAAACAGGTTTGTTAAAATACTGTTGGGAAATGTAATTTACCCACCATTGCTATGAAATTACCTCATATTGGGTTGATAACTTGATTCGGGGAAAACAAGTCAAGCTCTTGGGAAGAATTTGCTCCTGATTGTAGGCAGTTAATTCGACCAACATTAGTCTACTTATCAACCAATTTTGTCAAACTTGTTTACAGGTGCATGTGGCAAAATAACACAATTTCGTGTCTAATTGAATCCAAAATGCTGGGAATTGTAAACCCCACGTCCGGGCTAGAGGTGCATTCCCATATCTCTTGAGTTCCTCCAATTCCATGGCTCTCAGAACTAGTATTGGAGTCAAAAATTTCAGTGACTTGGTGTTACTTTCATGTTCGAGCTCGGTGGACGGATTTTTAACCTACTTATTAGGGTGCACCCGGCCCTTAAGCCTGCTGGAGTTTGTCCCCATTTGTTTACAAAATCTCGCTATTGACAAACAAGAATAATGTGCTGTTGTTGTCCAGTAATTCTGTTTAGCTCAGCAAGTAGCTCAGGTTTGCAGCACTCGGAGAGTTTTTTGCCTCGGGAGGCTAAAGACATTTATCAGGATAGAGTTTTGATACGACCTTGCGAGGCAAAGGACTCGGCAACAATTCACCGCACATGGAATATTTTTTTTGAGTTACGTTCTGAGTAACCGACCGCGAATGACTTTTCTGATCAACAGGTAGCTCGACGTGTGCGGCGGGCTTTATCGAAACCAGTTTGGGAGAGGAGCCTGTTGCTCCCACCAATTTCCCGATCAGGTTGACATTACTGTTTGTTGTCATGATTGTACTCAAAACAATGACGTTGTTTTGGGCGTGCTATTGCAACCACAGAAAGTCAGATAATTAGCTAAGGATCCAATTTTGCGATTAGCATTGTTCAGGACGGTTTGAAGTCGGCTCATTTGTAGTGAGCTAAAATGAGAGGTCTTTCAATTTACATGAAATGTATCATATTGTCTGACTACTACTCTTTGTGCCCAACGGGAGCTTAAATGAGATATCTTAAAATTTACGTGAAATGTATCATATTGTCTGACTACTATATGTACTCTTTATATGCCAAACTTTTTTGCGTTGTCCCCGCATTTTCCAAAGCATGGGGATTTTCTAATTGTTTTTTAAATTTTTATACGATTTTCGATGAATTTTGATGTGTTTTGTTAAATCTTAACTTATATTCAAACTCTATCATTATTAAGTGGAAATTGCAAATAAATCAAACTAAATCAAAACTTAAACCCCACATAATCAGTTCCTGTCACCACACTAAAATGGAAATCTTTTTTTTTTTTTTTTTTAACAGATCTGTGACGGTCATGGCAGACAGGAGGATTTCTGGGAGTGATAATATGTGTGAATCAACCACCGCTGCGTCGACTGGACCTCTTATCTATGCTGTCCCCGATGTCTTAATAACGACGATTTTGCAACATCTGAGTGCGTCTGACCTGTGTCACGTGGCATCATGCTGCCGTTGGCTACGCGATGCAACCAATCAGGATTCACTCTGGCTCCCTCTTTGTCAAAGCAGAGGATGGGAGCGCTACGGCACCAGCACAGACCTGGCCAAGATAGCCTCCTTCGGGCCTTCCAAGCAAGCAGCTGATGATAGTGCTGCAGGGGATGACATCGTCACCTTCCAGGAAGATAGGATCGTGACTTATGAAAACACAGCGGGTTTAACCAGCACCTGCAGGTGGAAAGGCGTCTACATGAGAGCTAACCATCTGGAGAAAAACTGGGCTACAAACTGCTCTTATTTGAAGGCATTTGACCTTGATGTGGAAGAAAGCCCAAGACACCGCACTGCCCATCATGAACGCTCCAGGGCTGTCGTCGATGGGGATCTCCTTGCAATTCAGAGCGTGTCAAAAGAAATCCATGTCTATGACATTCGGAATAATACCCTTCAGTGTGTTATTCCTTCTATCGAAACTGCGGGTCTATTCAAGTTCAGAGACGGCGTGATTGTGGTGCCTTTTCAAAGTGGGGTTGCCTGTGCGTTCGATGCAAGTACAGGGAAGCTGCTACAAACGATAGATGGAAACTGGCGCCGTGACGCTGTGTCGTTATTATTTGATGGTGAACTGGTCATCACCTACGTGCTTACTTTCAATGGGAAATACAGTGACAAGTTCCGTGCCATTTACGTGTGGTGCGTGAAAGACGGCAAACTTATACGCATCCTAACAGTGGACCCTACAGGCGGTGACTGCGTTTGTTATAACATGGACTATCGAGACAAGATGGTAGCGGCGGCCTTCGAAGGTGACTGCATTCGCGTGTGGGATGCGAAGAGCGGAGAATGTGTGCATACACTAAAATGCCCAGGAGAAAAGTCAGAGGTTCAACTCGGCGATAATGTTATCGTTGGTTTCAGCACTAAAGGCGACGAGTGTGTTACTACCATTTGGAGCCAGGACACGGGTGAATGCCAAAAAGTGATACACGTAGGCCTACCCGTACCCATCTCCCATTTTCGGAAGCACATGCTGAGCGGGTATAATGCAGAGCTTATCAATAGTTTGATACTACTAAAGTTTGACCCCATGTGTTGCAATCCGATTCGTTCTGTGTACGCTCACAATCTGCGTGGAGAATTTATAACACAATTGATGAGTGATACCTATGTGGAGAAAGGAAACGGAAGCAAGCGCCTCTTCTATGTAAACGATCCTCCGCCGAAGGGAGAAGGTCAGAAAACGCAGAATAGGGTCATCTTCAACGTCACTCCAAATGGCCTGGTAAAACTCTTCGATGTTGATAGTTCTAACCAAATCATCTGGATTGACGACATCAGAATGATTACCTGTGACAATAAGGAAGGAATACTTCTTGTCCATCATTACTGGTAAACCGGACATCATGTCAAATCGGAGTTAAATCCAATCGTTGACTACAAAGTGGACCATGACTCCTTGAACTCCAGGCATAACTTAGTAAACAGCGATGAGAAAACTTTTAATGGAGGACACTCGCGTTTTTATTAAACCATGTATTCGTCTTTTGAAACTTAGACTTGCCACTTCCATTCCCTTGTACAAGCCAATCTAATGTTCCTTAGAATTCTGTTCTATTTTTTTTCTCTTCCACTTAGTGTGTTGTAAATGTATACGTGACCACCTTTCTGTAGACTCTTAATCACAATTAGTATGAGGCTTTGCCGCTGTAACCAGCTTTTATTTTAGCATATCGTGTATTTGAACATTCGCACATGAATCCTGTTGAACTACCAGGAAAAAAGGAAATTGAGAATGGAGAGTCGAGTAGACCGAGTACAATTCATCGTGAGATCACATCAGTTTTGGATAAATTGTGAGAGTTCTCGTTTAATTTCTGTGTCTCTGCCCTCTTCGTAGTCAAATTCCTACAAAGTAGTGTTTTGTGAAGTCAACCAACAATCTTTTTCGTATGTAAAAAAAAAAACTTAAAAAACCAACAACTCTATTAAATGAGCTCCGTGCGCTACCAAAAGAGGGCGCCCTTGTACCTTACAACAACGTCCCATGGGCAGGACATTTCGCTGGTTGACGCGCACCGTTCCTTGTGTGTGACGCACGTACACCAGGGGATTTGTACTATTTACACGCGCGGCCGCGCTTCGCACGGCAAATGAATTGCAGTCAGTCAAAATGGCGTCGGTCGGTCACCCCCAACTGTATTTCCTTTGCCGGTGAGGGGGTGCTTGTGAACGGAGCGGATAGCTGAAGTGAATTTGAAAAATCGCGCGAATAGTATGTTGTCAAGTCAACCACGAATATAATATATTGTAACAAATAAAAAATCTCAGATAATTAGCTGAGTTTGTAAATATGCGCCTGTACATCAACGGGTTTTAGCATTTCAAATGCAAATGAATATTATAGACCACGTGCCTGTTATTTGTTTATAAAATTTAATATAGTGGTCACGTGATGCCAACTTTCAGATAATGGTTCTCTTTTGCACTGTGTGTATATTTCTTGAAATTTGAAAGGTTTGAAAGTGTGACTTGTACTTTTAAAGTTTGGGCCAATAACATGCACAATATGCATGATTAACTGTTTGGGTTGTCCTGTGTTTGTCAGTACAGTGGGCATAACGTCACACACAGGGCCCATGATCTTCACCTAGATACGCTCTCATCATGCAAATACTGTAAACATTGAGTACAATTGAAGAGTGATTCAATTTGATAGATGTTTTCACTTTAAGTATCATGGATATTGAATCAAACGCAAGTAGTTGAAATAATATCTTATTGTTTTTAACGCTTTTTCTCGGATGTTTGAACATGGTTAATGGATATAATTGCTTGTTATTTATATTAATTATGTCTATACGTCAGTTTTTTTTACAAGTAAATCTGGGGAATCTTTTAACCTGTTTAAGTCCCCCACGTTGAGGCAACCCTTTGCCTAATTATAGACAAATTACGGACACCACCCCCCCCCCTGTTTGTTTTCTGGGCTACATATTATGATGTTATCGTTGTTGACATGATTTTCCATATAGTTTTAAAGGGTAACTGTGTGCCAGTGAGCAATTATGTGAAATTGTAGATCGTCAATACTGAGGTTTGGTAAGACTACTTGCTGTTATCTGGGGAAACGATAAATTTGTCAAACTTTAGGGTATAAGGGCAGCAATTTGGGAAGTTTCATAATGTCATCATATCTACAACATGTTATTGAGGTAAGGATGTGAAACTGAGTAGAATCCAAAAATAGGTTGTAAAAAAATATCAAAATATGGGAATAAATATATTACACGGCATCTATTTATGCAAATTAAGCACCACTGTAAAAAGAATTTAATTTCAGGTGTCACCCCTTCTAAAATCTTTTTTAGGGCTATAAGAATCTATCTGTTTAAATTTGGTCACATTCTTGGATTTAGCCAATTGACTGATAGGGAAATTGAAGTTAAGGACATGAAGTGAAGTAGGCTAGTAAAGGACATCATGGGTAGCGAGCTGTAAGTCATCCGATCAATTGGAAATTAATTAACATCATTCGGTTATTTAGACTGTTAAACAGTTTAGTTTTGAGGTTTGGTCTTTATGATCCTTTCAAAAACCTAACTGAAGCGCTCACGGTTCATCGGGCAAATTTGTCGTTCTCAATAGCGCCACCTATGTTTGACAATGTCCATGATAGTGCGCTTTAAACAAAATGCAGGTCTGCCCCCCCCCCCCCCAACTCGTCAGCTGCTATAGTGCTAGCTAAGCTAGACCCTGGGTTTATCGGTAATGTTGGGCCGCGTAATAGCCTAGATCAGAAAAATATCCACTTCGCCCCATTGCCACTTCTTCATACGTGGCATTGGTTGCCTTGCAATTTAATCACATGGTGGTGACTTTCAATTAGTTTAATATGTTGTAGAAAACATCATCATGATGAGGAAGCCACTTAATTCACTATTCATTTTTCCCGGAAAAAAAAGGTGCAGGTTTAAAAACAAGTTTATGTTTCGCTATTGCCAACGTTCACTGGCAGTGGATGGCCCGATAGTTCCCCAACCTGAGAACAATATTTAACGCCAGGATCTCTGGCAGAATATGTAATCAGACTGTCAACCGAAAGGTTCTTGGACTTAATTTCCCTCTCAAAAAGTCCTCCAAGGTCACAGATCACAAAGAAAAAAATAGAGTTTGATTTAGCCCCATAAAAATGATAATTGATATAGATTCGAAATGGTGTATTTGCCTTGCCCTAATGACAGTAGTTGAAAATGGCGTTACGGTAGTCACTACGTAACCGTTTAGTTTGTTTTCCCCGTAGTGCACACACTGCACTGCCACTGATCTTCTTTTCATAAATGTTTCCACTTTAATGTTCTCATACAGCCTTATAGGTGTCAACGGTTCCTGCACACCTCCAAAAATGTGTAATGGAGACGACACACCTCCAACGTCTGCTGCCGCTGCCACGACTTCCGGTGCATTGACTGTGGCCATTCCGTTTGTCGCATTCCGTTTGCCGAGCTATAGGCCCCTATCAAATTCGTAAGTTTTTTTTCCCCACCAACTTGGGTATAGGCTTGTAGATAGCCGCAGATTTCCCCCTTAATTCCTATATGTCCTTAAAGCACAGTCTATTATGACACCGAATTTAGTTGCGACGATTTTTGCGGGACGCACGATTTTATCGCATTTCTTTTAGTCTTGGGATAAGACGTTGATTGTGTTTATTGGATTCGCGATAACCCGCTGCCGCGAGAGGGCGTTATCATGACGAACCGCTACCAACCATGAACCATTACCTACTCTTCTGATCAGACATGGACATTTAAGTTTCTATCATGACGAATTGTCTAGTACTAGTGGTCATATACGGAACCTGCTGGGTTACTTATATTTAACACGTGTTTAGGCATTCCGTGTCGTCGGGGCCAAATCTTTACCTTAATGTTTTAATTAACAAAAAGGCGAGGCAAGCTCCATAATTTCTTTCTTTCGTACACACAAATTATAGCTGATTTGATTTATTACGTTTTGATTTGTTTATGTTACATGCCTTTTTTGTATTATCGAGCACGTTTTAAAATTATTATCGAACGATTACAGTACGAGCTCTCAATATGATTAAATTAATAATACTTGTAATTGTCCTGGGATAGAAAATAAATAAAACAAAAAGTTATGTGGCGATGGCCAAGTCTTCAGGAGTCGGACTTATGACCCTAACTCAATGAGCCCCTTACCGACTTCCATATAGAACTCTTCTGGGACTCGGTACCCGGCCCACCACACCTCCTTCCCTGTCCATCCATGTAACTCGAAAGTGAGGCACCATAAAGGGAGGAGACGAGGTGGCACCCTAGGCCTTGCTGCCGAGTCAGCAAAAGAACCCCGTACCTGTACGCAGATGCCAACCTGGACTTCGCAGACAGTCCCAATTTGTGAGTCAGCTTACCGACCGACCGAGCTAACTGCTGTTGGTAATTGACGACGGGAAATTGAAACTCTTAAATTAAATGACAAAACCCTCTGCGCTGAAAACCAAAATATGACACTAAGTGGATTCGAACCCCTTACCTCGTGTTTCGCTGTCAGACAGCTTAACTACTAGGCTATTTCAGTTGCTGCTTTTCTCTTTGCATTTAACATGATACATTGTATCCTGTGGCGATAAGTTCGGGCCATTCATTTCCGCAGTGGAAGAATTATTTTGTTTTTCACAGCTGCTCGAAAGATGCAACGCGCTATTCACACGAATGCTGTTACGTAACTCTATTCTACATTCACTTTTATATACAGCAGTTGAGCGACTTTAATTCAGAGTCACTACGAGCAATTAGCCTTTCTCGCCCCATATGCTGTTTCTGATTGTTTTGCGTCGCGCGACCTTCGTCCGGCCGGCACTGGCATCGCGCTGGAGGAGTTAAATTCTAGCAAGTTTGTAATAATCCAGCCCTTCTTTATATTATAAATATTGAGCTGCTGACCTGTTTACAAATCTTTACGAGGGAATTGTGTTTGTCTGATTCTAATTCAGCTCCTTTAGTGACATGGAAAAGTCCGGATTTTACGAGCGATAATATTCATCCCATTCCACTCTTGCTGCGCTTCCGCTCCTATACGCTGCAATGAGGCTGATAATCTAATAAAGAATCGCCGTCAACTGACTCAACTCGAACGATGACCTGTAAAATTCTTCCAAACAGAAAGGTTTGTTAGCGACTCATCATATAGTGAAGCTCGGCACAGTTGCCTGCTGTCATATGTAAGTGCGCATGCGCCAAGTGTTTCTGTTAGAGCATACCAGCAACATTGTGCTGATTAGATAGGAATGATGGAATGTCCATTATAGCATCCGGGTCTGTCTTCGAGCATCCAAGCCATCACTGCACTGATTCCATAGATGTTCTCTCATCCAACCAGAGTGTGGTTGGGATTCTCTAAGAGAACAGCAACAATGCGTTGATTGCATAGGAGTTCTCTGAGAACAACCCTGGTGTTTCTGTTAGAGCATACCAGCAACATTGCGCTGATTAGATAGGAATGATGGGATGTCCATTATAGCATCCGGGGCTCTCTTCGAGCATCCAAGCCATCACTGCACTGATCTATCTCTCATCCAATTAGAGTGTGGTTGGGATTCTCTAAGAGAACAGCAACAATGCGCTGATTGCATAGGAGTTCTCTGAGAACAACCCTGGTGTTTCTGTCGGAGCATATACCAGCAACATTGCACTGATTACAGTTGCCTCACTTAGAGCATCCAATCCCTCACTGCACCGATTCCATAGATGTTCTCTTTCAATCAGAGTGTGGCTAGGATGCTCGAAGAGAACAGTGAATATGGAGCTCTAAGTGATCCCCAATGCGATAATTGCCATGTTGCTTGGATGTTGTAGGAGAACCCTCTGGGGTGCTCTAAGACAAGTTAAAAATCACGGTGCAATCATTGCAATATTGGTGGGAGGCACTAAGAGAATCCTTAGAACCAGTGTTGTTTAGGTTGGGATGTTCTAAGAGAACTCCATGTGATGATATAAGAGCTCCGTTTGCAATATGTTAAGTGTGGGATTTGATGCTCAAATATAAAAAAGAACCCAGATGAGGCTCTAAGACAGCCACCTTTGATGCTCTTATTAGAGAACCCGCCTATAGCAGCTGCATGCATGAAGACACAAAGTATTATATATTTTCCTATTTTCCATGAAATTGCGATACTGTAAAATTTCGGGTTTTTTTCAATATCCCTGCGATTGTATAACACCTGGTCTTGTACATGTGCGTATGTCTGCGTGTGAGCTACTGATGAAGCGCACGCACGGCACCTACACAAACTCACAACTCGAGCCGTGGCTCGAAGCCACAAAGCCTAACACAATTTCGTGAAATGCAGCGGTCGGGGTCAGGCATTGGGTCACCTGAGAGACGGTTCGAACATAAAAGGAAATATTGATCTGCGTTATATTCAGCAATTGTGCACCAGTGATGTTTGTTTAGCAAATGCTCTAAACTTGGACGTTGAACCCAACATATGTTGAACTCACATGCAAGGGCCGCCTATTCCATTGTACCCATTACACCTGAACGTACGGTGCCATCGTGTACAAGTGAGTACTGCATGTCTGCGTTTGCCGTGTTGAAAATCCTCGTAATGCGTGTGGCTGTATTCTGTATACAGCTACACGCGCGTGCAGTACTTGCTTCAGCATGTAGTCATCTCTCTGTGTGACTAGCAAAACACTGGAATTATACATGTAAGTATGTATAATGTTGGCATAATCACAAACTAAAAATGTATGAGGTCATTTCTTTCTGGAATTCGGACCCTACTGGCTGTTTTTGAAGTGAATTCAGCTATGGAAAATCCAAGCCTTCCTTTGCTTTTTTTCAAAATTACAAACCATCAGTGGTGAGCATAAAAGTTTGAGAATAATTAAGTGTGTCAACACAAATTATTCTGGGATTTAATTTAGTTTAGGATTACCCCTTTCAGGGCCAGGGTATTCCTAGTCTTATAAATACTGGAATGGCTGAGGATATTTGTTCAGGTTCATCTACTTTGGATTTGATCATGTAATCTCTGATAAGGAGCAGACTAACAGCAAAATAATCATGTAGAAACGCAGCAAATGGCTTATTAATTAGTCAAGTGGCTTAGACCCAAAGTTTGACAAGATCGTGATCGGCTGATCCGAAGCACAACAATTTGAAACCCATGTTTTTTTTCTTTTGTATTTTGGAAGGTATTTTTTTTCTACACACATATCCTTATTCAATAACATTTTAGTGTCATATAAGTGACTGGATAACTTGAGGACATGACATAATTCATATTCAATATATTTCATATCCACCACCAAAATAATAATGAACAGTCGCCAAATGTCGTTAGTTGTACCGGAGTACGAGTTTAGTTGTATCGGAGCAAATATTTTTCTGGAAATGTTGTGGTTTTCTTTGGTGCTGAAATGGTAAATAATAATTGGAAAAAAAATCAACAATGCAGTCGTTAGAATCAGATAATTAGCTAAAGTGCCGGTGTGATTACTATCGTTTATGATAATTGTTATACGTCACCTAATTTGTAGTGAAGCTTAAGTAATGTAGTTTTGATTCCTGTTTACATACAATTTTTGAAAGGGTGTAGAAGAAATATGAATCATATCACAAATGTAAGACCTGCTATTTTTAGTCGCGAATGTTTGGAATTAATTAATCTCTTGGTTAAACTCAAGATCAGCTCCTGTTTACGCACTGTAAGGGATTGCTTTTTTCATTGTTTATTTTTTTTTATTTACAGATATCTGTGGTCATGGCTGCGTCGACAGGATCTCTTATCTATGCTGTCCCCGATGATGTAATACAGACGATTTTGCAAGACCTGAGTGCGTCTGACCTGTGTCACGTGGCATCATGCTGCCGATGGCTTCGCGAAGCAACCAATCAGGATTCACTCTGGCGCCCTCTTTGTCAAAGCAGAGGATGGGAGCACTACGGCTCCACCACAGACCTGGCCAAGATAGCCCCCTACGACCCTTTCGATAGCCCCAACGTCACCTTCCAGAATGATAAGATCGTGACTGATGACAACACAGCGGGTTTAACCAGCACTTGCAGGTGGAAAGGCGTCTACATGAGAGCACACCATCTGGATAGAAACTGGGCTACAGATTGCTGTCATATTAATCGGTTTTACTATGATGTGCGAGGAGACTCCCGTCCTGATATGCATAATAGTTTTGTCGATGGGGATCTTCTTGCAATTTTCAAGGACAGACCTACCAAAGCAATCCATGTGTATGACATTCGAAAGGAGACCCTTCAGTGTGTTATTCCTTGTGTCGGAATGAAAGGCAGAGAGGAAGATATCAGGTTCAAAGATGGCGTCATTCTGGTGCCTTTCAGTGATGGGAAGGTGTATGCATTTGATGCATTAACCGGACAGACGCTTCAAACGATTGAAGGAAACGCTGGTGATAAGCACACGATATGCCTACTGTATTTTGATGGTGATTTAGTCATCGGGTATTCAAATAGGCCTAATTTCGAAAGGTACGCCGATCTTGCGAAGTCGTGGGGTATTTACGTGTGGTGTGTCAAAGACGGTAAACTTCAACGCATTCTAACCGTTGATCCCGCAGACGGGACCAACGAGTTTTATAGCCAGGACTATAAAGACAAGATGGTAGCGGCAGTCTACGATGACGACCACATTCGCATGTGGGATGCGAGGAGCGGAGAGTGTTTGCATAAACTAGAATGTCAGGGGCCGGCGGAAGACTTAAGAGTCGAACTCGGCCATAACATTATCGTTGGTTTCAGCGAAGAAGGTGACATGTTCGTTGCCATTATTTGGAGCCAGGACACTGGAGAGTGCCAAAGGGTGATACATTTACCACTAGCACGAGCTAACGTGGGTATAGCACAGGTCGTGAACAAATTGATACTAATAGAGGTCCATGGAGCGAAGAAGTTTGGCCACTATGTCCCATCATTGCACGCTTACAATTTCCGTGGAGAATTAGTATCGGCTACGGATATCGTGCCTGCTTTCAAAAGACCATATTTTTTTATGAAATACGGCAGCAAGCGCCCCTTCAATATGTGGGTAGAGCCGCAGGAAGGCCAATACAGTCATGATAAGCCTTACAGGGCCGTCTTCAACGCCACTCCAAATGGCTTGGTACGACTCTTCGATGTTAATCAAGCCCTAATCATCTGGATTGACGAAATCAGTATGATCCTCAAAGACCATGAGGAAGGAAGACTTCTTTTCCGTCATTACTGGTAAACAGTGCCACCTAACCAGTTTATGAACTCGCATGACAACTTTCAACTCCAGCAATAATCTCTGTAAAAAAACTCACAGATATCGTACCCTGAAGAAAGTTATAGACTCCGATATGTTGGGAACTATTCCAGGTTTATTAGACGACAACACAAGTTCACATACGAACATGTAAGCGGCCATGTTAGGAGTGATGCATGCTGGGATACATGGATTAGACTTGCTACAATGCATCGATTAGATGGGAATCGCTACATCCTCTCTTCTAAGTTTAGTTTTAACAATTTGAATAAAACAGCTTTATGAAATAAACATTTGTTTGATCAGTGAATTTGTAAACTGGAGTCTGGTAATTTAAAATCTGAGTATTTCACTGATTTGAAAACACTTAATGAATATTTAAAAAACACACTGGTTATGTAAATGTACCAAGATAAACAATTACTATCCTTTCCTCTGAAAAACAAACAGAGGGTTAAACCAATAATATAGTAAAAAAAAAAAAAAAAAAACTCAAATGCCTTGAGTACTGAGATAGACTGTCTCAGTACTCGATGTGTGTACAAGGGATTATTCTGCCCTCATCTCTGGAGTGTACAACACATAACACATGTTGAGTAGGCAAATGTAGTTACTAACAGTCCGGTAGTCGGGGACAGTCCAAAGTTATCAGCATGAAATTTGGAACAACACACAAATCCAGTGCGGGCGAAGCAATAACAGTCACACAAAACTGTTAAGTGAATTTAGGATTTGGCTTCGAGATGCGACCGGAACGAGTGAGAACTGGCTGTGGTGGAGGTGCGTGGGGGATGGCAGGCTGAGGCAGTGGATCCTGTGGCGGTAAGTAGAAGTCAGGTGAGTGTTGTTGCTGTGGAGGTGGTTCAGGGACTGGCAATAAGTGTCTCCGATTGCGGCGGTAGAGTGTGCCTTGGGCATTGACGATGTACGATCTGGGGTTTCTGGAATGCTTTTGGACAATTCCAAGCTGATCGTGCCCTTTGGGTGATTGTAGACGGACAACTTGCCCTGGTGTCAGTGGTCGGAGGGGCTTGGCAGATTTGTCGTATGAAGACTTCTGTTGCTGTTGCCTCTTGCGTAACTGTGCTGTGACGCGTGTGTAAATGGCGGGTTTAAGGAGTGGCGTCGGGGTAGGGATGGTTGTGCGAAGACGCCGTGACATGAGACGTTGGGAAGGTGAGCCAAGCTGGGGGTTGGTTGGGACATTGCGAATGTTCAGCAGGTTTCGGTAGAGGTCTGAACCGTCGCGTTTTGTCTTCTCGAGGAGTTGTTTGGCGCGCTTGACAGAGCTTTCTGCAAGGCCATTGGACTGGGGAAAATGAGGACTGCTGGTTGTATGCTGGAAGCCCCATGACTGTGCGAATTGTTTGAAGGCGAAGCAATCAAATTGTCGTGCGTTGTCACTGATAACGATGCGGGGGATTCCATGGATGGAAAATTGTCTCTTGAGTACCTCAATGACTGTAGAGGCACAGGTGTTGTCGAGTGAAGCGAAGTCAAACCAGCCGGAGTATGAGTCACCAAGGGCTAGGTAATCCATACCGTTCCAATGGAAAAGGTCAACTCCAATGTGTTCCCATGGTAGGCTGGGTGGGGGGTAGCTTTTCAGTGGTTCTTTCTGTTGATGGGCTTTGGTAGCGTTGCAAACTGTGCATCCAGAGACGGACTGCTCGATATCAAGGCACATTGATGGCCAGTAAACTACATCTCTGGCTCTGCGTTTGGTAGCCTCGATGCCTGGGTGACCTTCATGCAGTATTTGGATGTATTCTGCGCGTAGTGACTTGGGAATGATGGCCTTATGTCCCTTTAAGATGATACCGCGGTCGAGAACCAGTTCATCTCTGAACGCGAAGTAGGGGTGGGCCTTTGGTGGGGCATTGTTGATATGCGAAGGCCATCCGCGACTGATGACATCAGTGAGCTGTTGCATGGCAGAGTCACAGGCAGTTGCTTTCTTGAGCTGTTCAAGTCGCATGTCAGAGATTGACAGGAGGGTCATGACTTGCAGGTCATCAGTTTCAGTACCGGTCGTTGTCAAGGGTGCACGTGACAAAGTGTCGGCAAGGAACAATTCTTTTCCTTTCTTGTACACGAGGGTGATGTTATACCTCTGTAACCGGAGAAGCATGCGTTAAAGCCGCGCAGGGGCACTCAGCAGAGGCTTTTTGACGATGGTGACCAATGGTTGGTAGTCAGTTTCGACTACGATGTCTTTACCGTATATGTAGTCGTGGAACTTGGTGCAGGCAAACACAACTGCAAGCAGTTCTTTTTCAATCTGTGCGTAGCGTTGTTCAGTGTCACTCATGGTACGTGAAGCATACGCGACAGGGGCACCCTCTTGTAGGCAGGCTGCGCCAAGGCCAAACTCAGAGGCATCGCAGGTCAACGTGACTGGCTTGCGGACATCAAAGTACGTGAGTGTCGGCGCATTAGCAATCTTGTCCTTGATTGCTAGAAATGCGGCATTGTGTTGCTCTAGCCAGCACCAATGGATGTCACTATGTGTGAGCTCGCGTAGTGGGGCTGTTAAGTCGCTCAAGTTGGGTACAAACTTGGCCAGGTATGTCACCATGCCAAGAAAGCGTTGTAGGGCAGTAACGTCGTTGGGTGGAGGCATGTCGGTGATAGCACTGACTTTGGCTGGGTCAGGCTTAAGTCCATTGGCGGTGAAGACGTGACCGACATATGAGACTTGTTCAAGACCGAAGCGGCACTTTGTGGGGTTGAGGCGCATGTTGATTTTGCGTATCCGATCAAGGACAGTTTGAGGTTTCGATCATGTTCCTCTTTAGTGCGTCCACCAACTAGTATGTCATCTACGATGATGGAGCATGGCAGATCGGCGAATATCTGCTCCATGGTTCTCTGGTACACATCGGAGGCAGAACAGAGGCCGTAGGGCATGCGAAGATAGCGGTATCTGCCATGTGGCGTGCTGAATGTAGTCAGCAGTGATGATTCGTAATCTAAGGGGATCTGCCAGAACGAGCATTTAGCATCAAGCACTGAGAATACTGTCGCACCATCCATCTTGGCAGCGACTTCCTCTACTGTTCGGGTAGGGTGGTGTGGGCGTTTCAGTGCTTCGTTAAGGTCGCGAGGGTCGATGCATAAGCGGATTTCTTCGCTGTTTTTTCTTATGAGTCGCGACCATGGAGGAAACCCAGTCTGTCGGTTCGGAGACTGGAGTGATCACGCCTAGGGTAGTCATCCGCTGCAGTTCGGACTTGACCTTGTCTTGCATTGCAGCAGGGATGCGACGTGGGGGTCGGACAACCGGCGTAGCATTGGGGTCTATGGTCATGGTGTAGATGACTGGTAGTGACCCGAGCGAGCTGTCAAACAGGTCTTCGTAGTCTTTGAAGACTTGAGGCGATGTGGTGTCATTGGAGACATGGTATACTAAGTTATTGACAGACAGCAGGCCTAGACGGAGGCAATCGGTTAAGCCGAGGATAGCTTTCACTTGTGTGTCAACAATGTGAAAGTCAATATTGTGGTCAGTCAGCGATGAGTCAATGCGACATGGCAGTGTAGCTAGTCCAACTGTGTGGAGCTCGGTTCCTCCATAAGCGATGAGCTTGGTTGACTTTGAATTATCAATGGACTTAGGTGGTGCGATGACGTTGTAAACATGCATGGGCAGGACGTTACAACGTGCACCAGTGTCAAGTTGGACAGGAACGTGTGTGTTATTCACCACAAGCGTAGCGTGGATGTCATGTTTCAAGTTCAAGTTGGTGTTGTCCACGGCTCGAGCGTAAAATAATTCTTGCTCATCCACGGCAGGTTCGTCTTCCTCCGAGTATGAATCGGGGTTTACTGTGTAGACGTGGCGGCTGCTTCTGCAGTAATCAGCATAGTGATTCTTTTTGTTACATTTGTGGCAAGTCTTGCCATAGGCTGGGCATTCGCGCCTCTTGTGAAAAGTTCCACAATTTCCACAAGGTTTTCTGGGCTTTTGCTGCTGTGTAGAACTACTGCGTGCAGATGTCTGCCGTTGATTTGACCATGTTGGTCTGTTTGGGCGTTGAGCTTGTTTCTTTTTGAAAGCATTGACAGTGGTATTTGATTCAACCATTGTGCTGGTAGAGGCTGACAACATCTTTGCCTGATCACCTGCGAGCTGCATTGATTGTGCAAGTTCCACTGTGCGCTTGAGGTCAAGTTTGTCCTCTGGTTGGGCAAGCAGGGATTCTGGATGCGTTCATTCTGCACGCCACACACAAGTCTGTCTCTCAGCATTTCATCAAGGTTTTTGCCAAACTTGCAGTCACTGGCCAGTGCACGTAGTGCTGCTAAATATTCGGCGATTGATTCACCAGATCGCCGACAGCGGCTGTTGAATTGAAAGCGAGCAATGATGCTAGACTTTGTGGGTTTGAAATGCTTCTCTAATCTGTCCACTAGTTCTTGATATGTAGCTTCGTTTGGTTTCTTAGGGGCAAGAAGATCGCTAATCAGCTTATATGTTTGTGAACCAACGACAGAGTTGAGTATGGCCCTTTTGCGTGCTGCGTCGGAGATATTGTTCGCCGCGAAATATTCGCCGAGACGATCAGTGTACATTTCCCATGTCTCTTTCTTTTCACAAAACTCTCCAATATTGCCGAAAGTAGCCATGATGTATTAAGAAACGAATCCTGTACTTACTGACACCATGAAGAAAGTTATAGACTCCGATATGTTGGGAACTATTCCAGGTTTATTAGACGACAACACAAGTTCACATACGAACATGTAAGCGGCCATGTTAGGAGTGATGCATGCTGGGATACATGGATTAGACTTGCTACAATGCATCGATTAGATGGGAATCGCTACATACCCAATAGGAGCTCTGTGCAAGTGTTAACTACACAATGGACCATAACACTAAATATACTCAGCATATGAACCCAGCATAACTGAGTCAACAGCCATGACAACATCTGCTAGATGACATACGGCTTGGACCATTTTTCCTTTTGTTTAAGCTTAGCTCTGCTATTAATATTACCTTGGACGTGCCACTATGATATTCCTTGAATTTAGAGAAATTGTGTTCTTTTAACGGGAATGTACATCATTGGCTTTTGCTGTAATTTTCAGAAATGAACAATTTGAGGGGTTAGTATAATAGATCAAATTTTGTTACACTGACATATTTGAAGTTTTTTCTTCGAAAATGCTGGAAAAACCAAGAAAAACAAAAGAAACGTTCAAGTAGTCTGGTTCCCTGACTCCACTAAAGATAAAATGGATCAATTTCCAGATGCCGGAAAATTGTAAGGTAAAGGAACAAGTCTAGCTGGCCTGCACCTGTTCATGAATATATAACCAATAGTAAACAAAATTTGAACTGAATAAAAAATGGTAAAATTTGAGCAGTAGTTGCACAATAGTTGGGTTTTTCCAACGGTGGTCAGCCGACCACCGCTGGAAACAGATACAAAAATGCCATTTTCTTGAAAATGACTTCACACCAGGTGCCATAATTTTACAGGATGCTTTAGACTGTCATCCTAGTAAGGTATTTCGTAAAAACTTGTTAGTTTTATTTTTCGATGTTTGCAAATGTTGTATATTCCCTTTAACCATAAAAGGGCCGGGCGGTATCCCCCTACAACTTTTTTTCCGCGATACCCTTGTATAAAACAAATCCTGAACCGAGCTTTCCAGACTTTTAGCCTCGAGTCTTGCGCATCTTTTGATTCCAAAATAAAATTCCGAGCATTGGTGGCTGTGCAGCGACAAAAATTCCGGCGATATGCGACGTGAAAACTGAATTGCATGTAGTGAGTTTCATAATTCTCGTCACTCGATGGCCGAAATCTGAGAAGGGGGGGGGGGGGAGGGCAGGAATCCCCCCGTCTGTGAGATGGTCAAAATATTTACCCGGCTCCTTTTAGGTTAAACAAATGTATCGAGTAACTAAATGTGTCAAACAGTGCTTAAATTTATATAAACAGATTTCGAATTCAAAATGCAGTATTCTAGATCGTTCCGTTTCACATGCTACTGAGGTTGGTAACAGAGTTTTACATTTTGGATCATGTGCATGTATTATCCGCCTATGCAGACAATGCATGCAATACGCTTTGCCCCACTAATGTTGCCTTCAAAAATGTCCCTCTTCCGATTAAGAAGCATATTTTAGTACAGTTTGTCCACCGAAGCATGATGATGGTTCTTTCGCATCCCCCTTCTGATTAAAGAAACATGTGTATATAGTTTCTCCGCCGAAGCATGATGATGTTCCTTTCGCACCCCGAGTGAAACGCAGACGTGTCGTTTCATAATCACATGTCGTGGAACCGACATCTCGTGGGAACAGAGATCAACTTGGGAGATTTGAACATAAACTACATGGTATAAATCCTTGACTTTTTGGGGCCAACGTTTTGGAATGGAGCAAATTGAACGCCAAAGTATGGGTCCGTCTTTTAATTTGGGCTTTCCGCGTCACATTGCGAAGCGACCTGTGAATATGCATCATACTAGTCCGTAAATGTCTGCCAAGGTAGACACAGTTGTCTGCGGTAATGTGCATGCGCCTAGGCTGATCCATTCAACACTCGTTATCAACCTTTCACCTTAAGCTATAGAATTCATGTAGAGTTAGCCTTTTCACGTGTACAGTTACACCTGGATTCGCAGTGAGCATGTGCGCGTGAGTACAAAACTTTTCTTATTTCCGTGCGCCATTTTGGAAATCACTTCCTCGTAGTGGCTTGGGCTATGTATGCAGCAACACTGGAAACGTGCCACGTAAGTCCGTTTATTTATTTATTGACGTGGGTGTTAAAAACGTTTTGCAAACAACCCTTTTTTTCAAACAGGATTTCACTGGTTGTTTTTATATAACGACCATATTAAGTATTTCATGATATCGCATTAAAAACAATATATTTCTTATCAATGGGAATCCTTATGGAAGATTTCTCAACCTTACTCATTTGTAAAGTTATACTGGAAATGGGTTACCAATACTAAAGCTCCCAAAATGGCTAAAGGTTTCCCCCACGTAAACCAAGGTGATGACGTCAGCGCTTAATATAGAATTGGGCAAATCAAGATATGGATTATTCGTCTCGATCCCATAACCTGATATTTGGTGTAGCCTACCCCGACAATTTGTTTATTCTTTCTGCTCAAGATAATACATGTGATTGGCCGAGGATAAGGAAAGCAAGTCAATACTATTCGGCTGTTTGAAATTGATCCCTGTTACTTTGCAATAAGCCTAATGATTATGTCAAAAGAGCTCAACTTCAGCTCATTTTGATTACACTGACATCAAAAACACCTTTTTTTAATAACAGGTCTCTTTGCAAAGGCTGCAGACAATAATTGGGAAAGCGACAACAATGGTCAATGCCTTACCGCTGCGTCAACTGGATCTCTTATCTATGCTGTCCTCTGCGTACACCACCACAATATTTTTACTAAAAAAAAAATGGAAAAAAGTGGTCAGAAATTGCCTCAGATCGAAACATAGAGCATCTACAATCTAAATAAACATTTCAGGGCCCTTAACCGGACCCCGAACCCCAAGTCGTAATTTTTTGGACCCACTTTTTTTGGAGGGACCAATTTGTGTTTGCCTCCCCCTAAAAAAAAAATGTGTTCTGGATCCGCCCTTGTTCTGAAATTGTTTTAAATCACAAAACAGCCGACGAAGTTGACTTTTGGCATTCTTGTAGGAGAGAATGGAATTCTCAAAGGGAACAAATTGCTTTTTGGAAATAAACTCTTCATGCATGGACATGGACATTGAAAAGCTTACTTAGTTTAAAGCACAGAACTCCCTGTGAAATTATTTTTTTTTTAAACATGATGTCATTATGAAGCAAATAGTAAAAAAAAATCATTTCCATTTTCCCGTCTAGAGACGTAATTTTTGAATTTCCATTAGAACTTCGTTTTAAATATTTGGCAAAGCCGTGACTGGGTGCATGCAAGCGTTGGTACACTCACACGCGCGCATTTGGTACAATTCGTCGGCTATAGTGCGTGATATCGCGTAGCAGTAATCTGCTGAATGAGAACGTGTCTCGAGATTTCAGGTCCAATTCAAAACATGATTCAGCAACTTTTGAATTGAATTCGAGTTCCTCGACTATTGTTTTCTCAGAACATACAGCATTCACTGAGCTAAAACTTCATCATGCTAGTTGTTCAGCACATTTCTTTACATTTTGAGCACTTTTGTTGCTTCAAACGCAGAAAATGCACATATGACGAATGATATTGTAGAGTTTGCAGAATCCAGTATAGGTGGCGCTGTTTACTTGTAGTGGAGGTTGGGGTCAGCGCAAGTCAGCGTGAAATTGGCGCGAAAAGTGCGTGCGCGCGCGCGCGCGGGTTGTGGCTGGACAGATCTTGGTGGTGAAGGTCGGTTCGGAAAGGCCAGCTCCGTGCGTACACACCCCAGGCTCCACGTTGCGATTACCAGTATAGTGCAGATAAAGGTAAATCACAAGTAATACTGATATCGTGTGTTCATTGTTTGGATGTTTGGAGGAAAGAATTAGAAGATAAGAAACCGGAATATTGGTGTCATTTGTGTCTTATTCTGTCTGTCCACTGAATAAAATTGAACCCCCGAAAACGCTACATTGGTGGCAGCGGTGAGTCCGCTTCTGTTTCGAGTCAATTTTCTCGTAGTTACGATTCCCTGATTGATCCACCGACATGGCAGACACCAACCCGATGCACCCTTCCACTCGTCCATCCATGCCCCCTCCACCCGTTTCCCTCCCGACACCATGGTTCCATACAATTCCCCCCATTTTCCCTGCCCCGCAAGGCGACATGTCAAGTTTTGTAGTTGACATGCCGCATGAAGTTCCCCGTGCAGCTTTTGACCCGGAGTACTCATTCCTGTCGCTACCTGGGATCCTCCCGCAAGCGACCGGCTCGTTGCAGTGGACAACCGCAGGGTATCCGGCCGAGGCCTCCACGCCCACACCGTCACCCCACAGCAGAGCACTGGAGCAACCACTCTTTCACGGCGCCGCATCATACGATGGAGCCACCGATGCACCGATTGGTCCACCGATCGTTTCCTCACCGCTCGTCGGTACAAGGCAGGTACATGGAGTCAACGGGGACACGACAAGCCAGCACAGCAATGGCTCCGCAGTGCAACCGTGGCACGACGGACAAGGGCGACTGCACTTCGATGGCGGTTCAATGATAATACCGACGGCTGGCGCACCGGATAGCGATGCCACGGTTGTGGGGGCACCGACGGGTTCATCGGTTGCACCGACAGGTTCATCGTTCGTCAATCCACAGTTCATAGGTGAGCACCACGAGCACGGAGCAAGGGGCGTCGGTTCGGCGCAGCAACCCATGGGAGTCGGTCAGCGACCATGGAACGGTACCCCAGGGTATGATTATGTTCGTGCCGCTGGCGGTTCAGGGGTCATACTGACGGCCAATGCGCCAGGTGGCGATGCGTCGGCTTTCAGAATACCGACGGGTTCATCGGTAGCACCGACCGGTTCATCGGTTGTCAATCAACAGTTCATCGGTGCACACAACGAGCACGGAGCCACAGGCGTCGGTTCGGCGCAGCAACACATTGGAGTCGGTCAGCGACCATGGAACGGTACACCAGGGTATGATAATGTTCGTGCCGCTGGCAGTTCGAGGGTCATACCGACGGCCAATGCGGCAGGTAGCGATGCGTCGGTTTTAAGGGTACCGACAGGTTCATCGGTTGCACCGACTGGTTCATCGGTTGTCAATCAACAGTTCATCGGTGCCCACCACGAGCACGGAGCCACAGGCGTTGATGCAGCGCAGCAACACATTGGAGTCGGTCAGCGACCATGGAACGGTACACCAGGGTATGATAATGTTCGTGCCGCTGGCAGTTCGATGGTCATACCGACGGCCAATGCGCCAGGTGGCGATGCGTCGGTTTTCAGGGTATCGGCGAGTTCATCGGTTGCACCGCCCGGTTCATCGGTTGTCAATCAACAGTTCATCGGTGCACACAACGCGCACGGAGCCACAGGCGTCGGGTCGGCGCAGCAACACATTGCAGCAGGTCAGCGACCATGGAATGATACACCAGGAGTCGGTCAGCGAAATGTTCGTGCTGCTGGTGCTTATCCGCAACGATCAAACACAAGTCCGTTTGCAGCAGCTGCAGGAACTGTAGATCGACCAGTGCAGGGGCGGTTGCGTCCACTTATGCGACCCGATAGATACAATGGGACGACTTCATGGACTGCATACTATCGACACTTTGAAATGTGTGCCAGTATTAACGGATGGGGGGAGATAGAGAAAACGGAGTATCTTGCTGTATCCTTGGCCGGTGCAGCCCAACAGGTGCTGCAGGGTCAGACAAACGATGGGACACCGTTAACATTCAGCGGTCTGGCGAATGCTTTGAAAGCAAGGTTTGAACCAGATGGACGGAAGGAACTATATAGGGTGCAACTTAAGAACAGGCGCCAGAAAAATGGAGAAACTCTGTCGGAGCTCGCACAGGATATTCGGCTTCTCGTTGACAAGACTTTCGGCAAGCTTCCAGCCGCCGGGGTGGCGACAATGGCCAGAGATTATTTTCTTGATGCTTTGGCAGATGGAGACACGCGGACACGGACGCTTCAAATGCGTCCCTGTAATTTAGAAGAAGCACTCACAGCTGCGATCGAACTTGAAGCGATTAAAGGTGCTGAGCAGGAGAACAACACCAAGAGACTACGCTCCATAGGGGGAGGGAAGAAAGAGGTGATTGTCAATGAGGTCGGCAAATGTGAACCCAACGACAGTGCCGTATCCAAGCTTGAGCAGCGTATGGAAGAGATAGGCAAACAGCTACAGTCTTTGATCCGGCGAGAAAATGACTCCCGAAAGAACCAGAAAGGATGTTTCAAATGTGGAGAACAGGGCCACTTCAAGCGGGACTGCCCCAAATGGCGCACCCAAAAGACAGAAACAGAACAGCAGGGAAACGAATAAAGGCTGACTCCGAGGGCCGACGGTCAGCCAAGCATGAAAGGCCACCACAGAAAGTGTTTTATAGCGGAACCATAGCCCCAGTTGGGGCGGGCCTCCATGTACCTGGGCACATCAACGGAACTCCAGTAGAAATGCTTCTCGATACGGGTGCGACTATCTCCATCGTTTCCAAAAGAGTGGTAGATCAGTTGGATAACAAGCCAATAATCAAGAGTTCTAGCGTGCAAGTTTTCCAAGCAAACGAGACATTGCTAAGTGTTTATGGGGAGGCAACAGTCGAGCTTCAGCTAGGTGGTAGAAAAGTGCACCACGAAATGGTGATAGCTGATATTCATAATGACATTCTTCTTGGATTGGACTTCCTGGACAAGCACAACTGCGTCATCGACGTTGGAAGAAGACACCTCGTGTATGGAAATTTCGAAGTTCCTCTGAGAAACATCAACGTACGGCAACAGAGCTGCCGAGTGACGGTAAAAGATACAGTAGCTATGCCACCTTTTTCTGAGATTGTTGTCGAAGGTGACATAGAGCGACAGAACTGTGCAGTTGGCGTTGGGATTGTTGAACCGATCCAGAGCTTACTGAAGAAGCACAGCATACTTCTCGCCCCAGCAGTGACTCGGTCTGATACGTCTTGGGTTCCGCTTCGCATCTTAAACCCCAGTGAGGACACAGTTATCTTGCGAAAGGGAACAGCAGCGGGTTTGTTCCAGACCGTAGATGTTATTGGCCCCCCAATTTCCAGCACAGAAGTGGGAACTGGTGAAACTGTCGGAGAAAGGGTTGAACAAGTTACGGCAGAGCGGAGGACAGATACACAGAATGGCCAACTCCCAGAAACAATGCAGGAAATGTTGCATCGTGCCTCGTCCCAATTAAGCGAGGAGCAGAGGGGCCGCATAAACAGGCTTATTTGCGAACACCGAGATGTGTTTTCTCAACATAAAGGAGACATTGGCCTTACTTCATTAACTGAACACTCCATAGACACCGGAAGTGCCAATCCCATAAGACAAGGAGCTCGTCGCATACCTCTCCTTCAGAAAGAGACGGTAGAGAAAGAAATCAAGAAGATGATGGACGGCAGCATCATAGAACCGGCATCCGGACCTTGGGCAGCGCCTATTGTGCTCGTGAAAAAAAAAAGATGGTTCAGTTCGATTCTGCGTTGATTATCGTAGGCTCAACGCCATCACTAGGAAGGACGCTTATCCAATACCCCGAATAGACGACTCATTCGAAACACTTGAAGGATCCAGATATTTTACAACATTGGACCTAGCCTCGGGGTATTGGCAAGTACCAATGAGCGCGGCAGACAAGGAAAAGACAGCTTTCTCAAGTCATTGCGGGCTGTACCAGTTTAGGGTCATGCCGTTTGGGCTTTGTAATGCCCCGTCGACTTTTGAACGTCTAATGGAGAGAGTCCTCCATGGGCTACAGTGGCAGATATGTCTTGTGTACCTAGATGACGTCATTATATTCTCCAAGACATTTGAGTCGCACATTGACAGACTGGGAGTGGTGCTAGATCGCATAAGGCAGGCCGGACTGAAGCTCAAGCCGGATAAATGTCATCTGCTTCAGGAGGAGGTTTCCTACTTGGGGCATATTGTCTCAAAAGGGGGAGTCAAGACAGATCCAAGCAAGACGCGGCAAATCGAGGAATGGCCAGTACCAAGAAACATACAGGAGGTGAGAAGTTTCTTGGGCCTGGCATCATACTACAGAAGGTTTGTAGCTTCCTTTGCAGAAATCGCCAGACCACTTCACAAGCTCACAGAAAAAGACAAGGACTTCAGGTGGACGCATGACTGCCAATTGGCTTTCGAACAACTGAAACAGCGGCTCACTTCTGCTCTGGTTTTGGCATACCCGAAGCTTGACCCAGAATTCATTCTGGACACCGACGCCAGCAATAGCGGTATAGGTGCTGTTCTTAGCCAACTGCAAGATGGTCAGGAGCGCGTAATTGCTTACGCCAGTCGTGCCTTGTCAAAGCCAGAGCGAAATTACTGTGTAACGAGAAAGGAGTTGCTTGCTGTCGTACACTTCATCAAACACTTTCGACCTTACTTATATGGGTGCCGCTTTCTTCTTAGAACAGATCATGGATCTCTCCGATGGCTCTTCAATTTCAAAGAACCAGAGGGGCAGGTTGCAAGATGGCTGCAAGTGCTGGCAGAATATGACTTCAATATTGAACATCGACCGGGACGCAAGCACAGCAATGCCGATGCCATGTCAAGAAGGCCGTGCACTTGTACACGGTGTAAGGGCATCCAAGTTGAGCAAGGATACGACAGCGGGGAACAGCCATCGCATGAGGGACGGACACAAGTTAAGGGAGACCAGCACCATAGCACAAAGGAGAAATGCCAACAAATAGAAGGGCTGTGGAAATTTCAAGAGCAAGATCCAGACCTGCCAACTGAACCAGTCCATTCACTACTTGCGCAGCATCATACACACAGTTCAGACAGCAGTCAGTTCATTCGTGAGGTGTCGTCTTTCTGTTGGCTGAAAGGTTTCACTGCTTCGGAGTTGAGAGAAAAACAAACAGGTGACCCGACTCTGCAGAAGATCATAGGCTGGCTGGAAAGTGGAAATCCACGACCAACTTGGAGAGAGGTGTCTGCTGAGGGTACATGGCTCAAAACCTTATGGGGGGCATGGCAGCAGCTTTGTTTGCACGACAGAGTGTTATACAGGCGTTGGGACGAGGATGATCGGCACCACTCTCGGTGGCTTCTAGTAGTCCCCAGGTCCCTCCGTGCGGAGGTTTTCAAGCAACTTCATAACGACCATACAGCTGGCCACCTCGGCATTAACAAAATGCATGCAAAGGTGAAGTCCAGATTCTTCGTAGAGGACTTGAGAGACTCAGTGGTGACGTGGTGTACCCAATGCCTCCAATGTGCCAAACGCAAACCTCCTCCCAACAGGGGCAGAGCACCAATTAGACAACAGGTCTCAGGGGTTCCGATGGAAAGGGTCGCCATTGATATTACAGGACCATTTCCAATTACAGAAACAAGAAAAAACCGATACATCCTTGTCATCACGGACTACTTCTCTAAGTGGACGGAGGCCTTTCCCCTACAGGATGTTACAGCCCAGACGGTTGCCAATGTCTTTGTCAGAGAGTTTGTTTCTCGATTTGGTGTACCGCGACAGCTGCATAGCGACCAGGGTCGCCAATTCGAGAGCAGGCTGTTTCAAGAGATGTGTGTACTCCTTGGAATAGATAAGACCAGGACAAGTCCTCACCATCCCCAAAGCGACGGCCAAGTGGAACGATTCAATCGCACGCTTAAAGACATGCTGAGCGCCTATGTTGCTGAAAATCAGTTGGACTGGGACCTTCATTTACCACAAGTGATGATGGCATATCGGGCATCAGAGCATAGCAGCACTGGACAAACACCCAACTATCTCACTTTTGGTAGGGAAGTAGAACTGCCGGTAGACGTGGTTTTAAGATCCCCAGAAGAACCCCAAGAAATCACTGAATATGCCATACACCTGAGAGAAAGAATGCACGAGGCCCACGAGAAGGCACGAGTACACCTTCATAAGGCCGCAAAGCACCAAAAGCGGAATTACCAAGTAGCAGGCAAGCCGAAGTGTCTGGAACCAGGGACTGCTGTGATGTTGACAGTTGAGCAAAGAACTGTTGGGCTGTCTCCCAAGCTCCAGCCAAGATGGGAAGGCCCATACCTTGTAACTGAAGTGCTAAATGATGTCAACGTCAGAATCCAACGAGGATCACGCCATAAGCCCAAAGTTGTCCATATTAATCGTTTGAAGCGCTTTGTGGGTGAAGTGGACAAGTCATGGTGGATGCCAAAGAGCCCTGCATTACAGCAACTTCCTGGGTCCGAGGAGCTCGAAGAGGAGGGGGAAGAGGAAGCCCCTCGAGTTGTTCTGCAGACGGATTCTTCTGGTGGAGGCAAGGAGAGCCAAGAGGCTACCACAGAAGGGTTCTCACAGGACTCGGCAGAAGACCACAACATGCAGGAACATATGGAAATCGTCAATGGAGAGATAGGGGATCCACCAGTTGCTGAACCTAAGAAAGTTTCAGACACAGACGGTCATCAGGAATGGCACAACAGAAAACGTCGACCTCCTCAGCGTTATGGCGAATGGACCGAATAACATTTTTAACTACGGAGCAAATACGAATTAATCTAATCCCCTGTTCTCTGTTGTATTCTCTGCAGATGCCGAAAAGAAGTCACAGCCGTCATCGCCGGGATTCTCCTCGCCGATCGCCCACACCTGACCGAACCCACCAACGACATGATGAACGAGCGGAAAGCTGCAGGTGCCTCGAATGCGATAAGTCATTTGGGGCCAAGTCAGCATTGGCAAGGCACATGGCCGAACAACACCAACCACGTGATCGGTTCCCCTGTCCGTTTTGCGACATAATCTACGGCCGGAAAAACGACTTGGCGAGGCACATCCGACGGGCTCACACAGGCAATCTTGATGCAGGCAACCAGTCGCCGGTATCAGTCAGCAACTCCCCCAAAGCTCCCAAGACGCCCGAGATCTCCAAGACGCCCGAGAAGAAGTCCGGACCGTGCCTGGAATTACACCCGTCTCCAGATGACGTGAGGCGTTTGGCTTCGCCACAACGTGCAACATCCTTAAGGAGAGTTCTCATACCCCCAAGTTCTGCAACGGTTTCAGGCCAATCAGATGAGGCAACAGGAAAGCTCGTCAAGCGGAGGCGCATTTTCGACCTCTACGATGAGGATTCCTTGATCGCGAGGATTACTTCGGAGGAATTCTTTAAGGAGTAGGACATGGTGGTCCACTTATAGTTTTAACTGTTCTTGTTGTGTTTTTAGAACCTTAACTTGTTAATGGCGTTTTTCTAGTTATACATTTGTTGTTCGTGAATGCGGGACGCATTCTTTCCCCGGGGAGGGGATGATGTAGAGTTTGCAGAATCCAGTATAGGTGGCGCTGTTTACTTGTAGTGGAGGTTGGGGTCAGCGCAAGTCAGCGTGAAATTGGCGCGAAAAGTGCGTGCGCGCGCGCGCGCGGGTTGTGGCTGGACAGATCTTGGTGGTGAAGGTCGGTTCGGAAAGGCCAGCTCCGTGCGTACACACCCCAGGCTCCACGTTGCGATTACCAGTATAGTGCAGATAAAGGTAAATCACAAGTAATACTGATATCGTGTGTTCATTGTTTGGATGTTTGGAGGAAAGAATTAGAAGATAAGAAACCGGAATATTGGTGTCATTTGTGTCTTATTCTGTCTGTCCACTGAATAAAATTGAACCCCCGAAAACGCTACAATATACTCCACCTATAAGGAAGATATCTCCACAAGATAGCCTCCTACGGACCTTCAGAGCAAGTAGCCGGTGCTAGTGGAGCAGCCGACGACATCGTCAGCTTCCAGGAAGATATGATCGTGCCTGATGACAACACAGCGGGTTTAACCAGCACTTGCAGGTGGAAAGGCGTCTACATGAGAGCTATTACCATCTGGATAGAAACTGGGCTACAAATTGCTCTCATTGCAAGGGGTTTTACCTTGATGTGGAAGAAAGCCAGCATCCCCAACTCCGCATTGCTCTTGTCGATGGGGATCGCCTAGCAGTTCACATCTTTTGTGAAGCAATGCAGGTCTATGACATTCGGAAGCAGACCCTTCAATGTGTAATTCTGGCCATGAGCCGAAATCAAGTTCAGAGATGGCGAAATTGTGGTGCCTTGTTTTGGTGGGGTGGCCTATGTGTTTGATGCAAGGACAGGCAAGCTGCTACAAAAGATTGACAGAAACTGGGGCCCTAGCGTTGTGTCACTGTTTTTTGATGGTAAACTGCTCATCACCTATGTCCTTTCTGATAGAATAGGAAACAGTGAGCAGTTCTGTGACATTTACGTGTAGTGTGTCACAGACGGTAAACTTCAACACGTCCTAGGAGTGGACCCTACAGACGGTGTCTACGTTTGCCGTAAAGTGGACTATCGGGACAAGATGGTAGCGGCTGTCTACGATGATGACTACATTCGCGTGTGGGATGCGAGGAGCGGAGAGTGTTTACATCAACTAAAATGCCAAGGGGGAAAGTCAAAGCGTAAAACTTTGCGATAATGTTATCGTTGGTTTCAGTACGACATTCAACAAGAAATTGTGCGATATTATCATTTGGAGCCAGGAGACGGAAGTGCGTCAAAAGGTGATACGTGGCGTACCATTGCATGGGTCTGAGTACCCTAATAAGGCAGAGTTCGTGACAAATGTAATAATATTACATGATGTAAATAAATCCGCCTCTGGCCATCTAGTTTATACCGTGTACGCTTACAATCTTCGTGGAGAATTGGTGACGGAGATGCTGAATTCTTATGAAGGTAGGATCGAGAGGAAACGGACGCAAGCGCCTTTTCTGGCTACCAAACGATCTGGTGGAAGGGAGTCGGGAAACATGGACAGAGGTCATCTTCAACGCTACCCCAAATGGCTTAGTACGACTCTTTGATGTTGGTCGTACCAAATTCATATGGATTGACGACATCAGAACAACCATCTATAACAAGGAAGAGCAAAGACTTCTTTTCAATCATTACTGGTAAACCAGTGGTGACACCTATCGCATCAAGAAACTCACGTCATGACTTTCCCAAACCGACAATAATCCCCACAAACACAAGAATCGACAGAAGTCCCCATAAACAGAACGTATCATGTGAAATCGGAGCTCTGTCCAATAGTTTACAAGACAGTGGACCATAACTCCCTAAACTCCAGGCATAACCTAGTAAGTAGTGACTGGAAAATGTTTATTAGAGAACACGCTTTTTTTGTCAATGTTCTTAAATTAAAGCCTAGATCTGCTATATCCGCTATCTCCATCATCTGCCTTATCCATGCTTTTGACATTTCAATCCTAGAATTTAGTTTAAGTTTCTCTTTGCATTTTTTTTTTATAATTTCACAGATAAACACCTTCCAGCGGTTTTCTCATCACGACCCGTGTGTTTGAATAAGGCGTTGTCTCCGTAGCCAGCTCTTATTTTAGCATGTCGTGTTGTAGAACATTCGCACATCACTCTTGTTTTGCTACCACACAAAGGGAACTGAAAATGAAGAGTCAAGTACATGTAGTATGATTCATCATTTGATCACATCAGTCTTGGATAAACTGTGAGGGTTCTCGTTTTGAGTCCGTTCTTCCGCACGCATTAGTATCCAAATTCGCTACTAAGTGCGGTAGTTTATAAATGCATTCTCTCGTAAAGAAAAATAACGAAAAACAACCGCAATGGGATAGCTGAATGAGTACCTATGTGCCTGTACATTAACCTGGTTTTAAAATTTCATATGCAAATGAATGTTTAGACCACGTGACATTTGTTTAGAAAATGTGCATGTTGTGATCATGTGATGCCAGATTCCAGCAGGCGGTTCTCGTCTGCACTGCGTGTATATTTGTTGATACGTGAATGGTTTGGAAGCGTTCACATGTACTGTTTAATTTGGGGCGACAACATGCAAGGGATGCTGAACTGTATGTGTTGCCCGTTGGTTGCTTGTCAGCATAACGTCAATATACTGTAAATATCTAGTGCAACTAAAACATGAATTAAACTGATAGATGTTTCCAGTGTACAGTAGTATACCTCAGTAACAGGCAATGCACATGGACATGGAACCGAACGCAAGCATTGCCTTTTTTGTTATTGCGTCACCCCACCTGTTTCAACAATTATGGTTAACGGAGAGAATTGTTTGTACCGTTTTTTTGTATTCTGAATTAAGCATTTCCTTTGATTTAGTTTGAATAACATACTTGTTCGAAAAATTATAATAGATAATTTAAGGTAAAGCAAAATGTATCTTTTTTCAGTAGTTGATTTGGCACATTTGTTGACAACTTAGGCATGCAACTCGATTGACACATAACATGTTAATATGGGCGGAACCAGAACTCAAATGTTTTTTTTGTAAAGGGGGGGGGGGCGCAACACATGTTTGGATTCTAGATGCTCTGTGGCACGATTTGTGGCAATTTCTGACCACTTTTACCTTTTTTTTTAGGAAAAGATGGCTGTGTAGCAGTGCCTGCCTTCACTTAGCAGTCACTTAACAAAAAATGGGTTGTATTGTTTGCCCTCCCCCTAGATCCGCCCTTGCAGGTTAATCTAATGGTTATTGGAAACATTGTCCTGTCAGTCTTGGATCTTTAACATTTGCATAATATAAATAAGGGAAGAGATGATTCTTTGCCATAAGCAATATTCCAAAAATAACGAGTTGCCTTTATAACATTGCAACTCGTATGAGAATTTGCAGGCTCGTATTGAATTCAAACGAGTCATGACTGAAACTTGTGGGTCGGCCAGAAAAGTGTGATTTCTAATATTCAAAATTAACACTTGCTACCACAACGTAGAATACACTAATTGTTGGCCAATCGCCGAAGTTTAGGAGGGTCTGTAAATAAGATGAAAGAGTATGAAAGTTAGCGTCAGTTATTTCTCAGACCTTATTAATTTTTAGTTTATCACATTGTTCTTTGTTTGTGTTTGTACGTAACCTGCTTATGTAAACACCAAACCAACTGATAATTGCAGAGGGAAAACTTTTATTACGTGACATGTATGAAACCACGGTTTCTAATTACCATTGTCTCTTCAAGCCCAGATCTACCATTTCCATTCCGTGGGCATGTCTTTCTAATATCTCTAAGATTTTTCTTTTTCTCTTTTATATTTTTTACACATTAACTTTTTTTGTTAAATCTGTGCCTATTATCCTAACTGGTGTCGATATTCTAAATAAAAACTTTTTCCTAGATACATCGTACCTATTCCCATGAAATACAGGAAGTGGTTAATTGGAGTATTTATATACTGCAAATTTAGATTGAAATTGCAACAAACTCACTCATTAAAAACAACCAAGTGAACGTTCTTTTTAAAAATGTCTGTCTTCCATATACCTGGACGTAATTTGCCATATAGCTATATTCAGCTTATCTTGAATTCAATAAGAGATAAACTAAGATAGAGGAAAAGCAATAGTTTTCTTAAGTGATTAATTTTGTACGTTTATCGGAGTTTATTATTATGTGTGATGGCGTATTATGTGCTGGTTGTTGAAATGTTTAATGTCACCTGGTTGGCTAGGCATGGGAGATAAAATTATATTTTGGTTGCAAACACCTGTTCTCTAAATGTCTTGTATTAATTCTAATTGTTTCGACACATAGATTAGGGATGATTCTTGACAAGCATGGATGCATCTGGGTTTCAATGTAATATCTGCTGTCTGCTTTTTTACCACCATGTGTGCATGATCTCAAGCACCAGCACCCTGGCGAGCCGAGCCCATGTCTTTTCCTATTTTGATAGATATTATTCATTCACCACAGCCAAATAAGGACTGACATGATTTCTTACTCTTTGCTACGGATCTCCATACAAACGATGCCCAAAATACCTTGAGGAACGAATTCAGAATGAGTTTCGATCACAGAGAAACTCATATTTCATGTAGTGGTGAAGCCAAGAAATAACCATACATGGGTCTCCCCGTCAGCAGGCCTCGCCGTACTGGTATTCCATACGGATGACATGACAAAACCCAAAACCAACTTCATCTCTTTCGATCTCCCAACTTATTTTACTCCAGAAGGCAAGGCGATACAAACCCCCAAAACAACGTGATATCTTGTAAGACTGGAGAGCCTTAACCGGTACAAGATCATAGTCAGTCTCAGCTAAGACTCCGAAAAAGTACATTGTGAAATGAAGGCACAATTACACACAATTTTCTAAAACA